AAGGAACTTCCCTTCAACTCCTGGAGCACACCTCCGGCCCCCTTTGAAGCACAGGCTTCTCTTTGTTTCCTCACCCCTCCTTTTTTCTTAAAGCGCTGTCTTTACCCATCAAGGAAAACTCTGGAGGAGGAAGGAGACTGTGTGCGAGGAAGATACTGAGGCTTTGAGGTGCCTCACTGGAGGAACAAGCAATGGATGGGGTTCGGTATTAAATCAGGACAAATAATATGGATAAAACTAGGGGGAGAGGGCACCCCTGGCTAAGCAAGCCGGTAGTTCAGATCCAGAGATGCATGTTCTGGGTTTCTGGTATTATAATTCTGACTTGCTGTGTTACATCACTTACTGCCTTGGGATCATTTCATTTCGCTGCTCTACTGTAAACAGTTTGTTCTTCAATGGCCTCCCACGACGTTGTTAAAGAATAAAAATTTGGCCACGATGAATACAGTATGAAGAGAACACGGCTAATGAAACAGATGACTAATACAAGACTTGTTTTGACAGCAGCAAAACAGCAGCAAGAGGAACATAATCCCCATTTGTCTGCATGGAGTCAATATTTACTGAGAGCAACTTACAATTACTGAGCATGATGGAGTTCAGCTTATAACCTTTAAAACAAAATGAAAGGGCAATTAAAAGGAGTTGGGATACTTGATTTTGTAAAAGCATTAAAGGGACAGTTCACCACAAAATCAAAAAATACATATTCTTCATTTTACCTGTGGTGCTGTTTATCAATCTAGATTGTGTTGGTGTGAGTGGGCTACTGTTGGAGATATCGGCTGTGGAGATGTCTGCCTTCTTATTTAAAACAGTCAGAAAAAAAAGCGCTACAGGTAAGATGAAAAATGTCTGATATGGATTTTGGGGTGTCTCTTCAAGGTCACACCTTACGACTATGGTTATAAGACATTATGTATTATGAAGGCTTAAGCAACTGTTCTGTTTGTATGGGTGTATACACTCACCGGCCATTTTATTAGGTACACCTGTTCAACTGCTTGTTAACACTAATAGCTAATAAGCCAATCATGTGGCAGCAACTCAATGCATTTAGTCATGTAGACATGGTGAAGAGGAGTTCAAACCGAGCATCAGAATGGGGAAGAAAGTTGATTTAAGTGACTTTGAACCCGGCGTGGTTGTTGGTGCCAGATTGGCCGGTCTGAGTATTTCAAGTTTTCACACACAACCATCTCTAGGGTTTACAGAGGATGGTCTGAAAAAGAGAAAATATCCAGTGAGCAGCAGTTCTCTGGGTGAAAATGTCTTGTCGATGCCAGAGGTCAGAGGAGAATGGCCAGACTGGTTCAAGATGATAGAAAGGCAACAGGAACTCAAATAACCACTGGTTACAACCAAGGTCTGCAGAACCATCTCTGAACCAACAACACGTCCAACCTGGAAGCAGATGGGCTACAGCAGCAGAAGACCACACCAGGTGCCACTCCTGTCAGCTAACAACAGGAAACTGAGGCTACAGTTCACACAGGCTCACCAAAACTGGACAATAGAAGATTGGAAAAACATTGCCTGGTCTGATGAGTCTGGATTTCTGCTGCCACATTCAGATGGTAGGGTCAGAATTTGGTGTAAACAACATGAAAGCATGGATCCATCTTGCCTTGGGCTGGAGGGGGATATTATTCGCATCATGGATGTGCAGCCGTCAGATCTGCCGCAACTGTGTGATGCTGTCACGTCAGTATGGACCAAAATCTCTGAGGAATGTTTCCAGGACCTTGTTGAATCAGTACTAAGAAGAATTATGGCAGTTCTGAAGGCAAAAGGGGGTCCAACCTGGCACTAGCAAGGTGTACCTAATAAAGTGGCCAGTGACTGTATTATACAACGCATTATAGATTTGAGTTTAGTACAAATGTTGCCATACACCTCCCAAAACCTCTTTCCACTGAAGGTTATATTGAAAAATGTGTATATTTTGCATTCAGTTCAGTATGTACATGACTATATCCGGACATGAATATTTCCTACCCTGCCACTTCAATGACGAGAGGCTGATTTAACTTTAAAATCCTGAGCACATCTGAAACACGCTTAGATCTGTTAACTAAGATCTGCTCTCAACACACCTCATTATCTGTCACCGATATGAAAGTTTAAAGAGAAAAGGTCCAAAGGGCTTCTGCTGTTTCATACACCAGATAAACAGCCTATTTATCATGTGTGTGTCATTTCAAACACAGCCTGTGGTGCAGACGGGTGAATAAAACACGGAAAGATAACTTTGACAGGAAAGAGAAAGTGGAAGGAGATAGGAGGCGCTTGGAGATTAGAGGTAGCGAGATAATATGGGGCTGTTTGTGCCTACGGGCTTCATGTCATGTATGGTTAAAGGCTTAACATCAGCTATCAGATAAAGTAAAACATGCATACAAGAACATACATGCACAGAGACACCGAGGCCGAGACCCACAAGACTTTATATTGTATCTCATAAACATCTCTGCGAGAAAAAAAACAAGATGAACATGAAAAATGATTCAAAGAAGCACTCGTACACCTATAGGGAGACACACAAGGGAGCTCCTTCAGGCGATACAGAGGACTCTAATTGGAATAAAGGTTAAAGACGCACAAAACAGGGAAGGGAATCATTTGTATCAATCAGGGCTAATCCAGCCTAATGTGTGTATCAAAGACAATATGCGTCGTCTCATCTTCAGCAGATGAATCTTTTCTTCTGGGGACGGCCTTAATCAAATACACTCAGAGGTCATCAGCTCTAATGTGCTTCTTACGATTCACTAATAACCTTTGATTGAATAAAATAATTCAAAAAGTAGACTATGTAAACACCATCTCGCACACACCTGACATTTTCACTAAGTACTCTCATTAAGGGGAAATTGTCAAACCGGTGCTAAAATATCTGGCGCGCTCCTGTATTGCAAACTGCATATTGGCAGGGGTCGTGTCGATACGTCTTGGGAGAAGGCGGTGGACAAATAAATCCAATTACAAAAACCATCAGTGGAGAGCAAAAGACAATCAGAAGCAAATTACAAAATTAATTAATGCATCGACAATTCAGCTACGCATAATTAAGCTGAATCTGAGTGTTTGTCAGAAATATATGGTGTTTGTTTTGTCCTACAGGAAACGGAGAGGGACTGTAAGGCTGGCAAAATGTATGACTGAAATGGAGATGGATTGAAACAGGTTTTTATTGCGACTATAACAAAGAGCATCATCCATTGTGGAAAGGGATAAGCATTCTCACCCTTTCCCATGATCTGAGGGGTTGTGCAAATCACTGTTGGCTGCCAAAGATACAGTCTCTGTGTTTTTATGACTAGCGCAAACTGTCAAGACGGTTGTGGAGCTGAAATAAATGACTAGACCTGCTATCAGTCTGTATTTCATTCCATCTGCATCTTGCCCTAAACTAGAGTTATTTTCTCCTGCTGAAAACAGGTAGAAAGGCTGAAAATGGCCCCATTCGTGAAAGCTTTATTTTAATTATCTATTAATCTGCCAATTGCTTTCCCAATAAATGAACGTGTCTGTACAATAAAATAGGGGAAAATGTGGAATACCCCACAACTAAGGGTGAAGAATGATGTTCAGTCACTTTTCATGCTCAGGCTTTCTTTCTCACCCTGCCATTCACTCCTTGGACAAATGCTCACTATCTCGAGATGTCATTATCTGGGTAGGTAAATTGAGTCATCAGCCAATTCACAATCAACCAATAGCACAGCGACACACCTTCTGTGTCAGTCTATCATCTTACTGCACCTCATTTTAAATATGGTTCTTTTTTGCTGCCGTTGTGCGTGCCCTGCACCTCCCCATCGCCACCCAGTTTTTACAGATTCATCAGCCACATCTGCCTCGGCAGTCATTAGCCTCAGAATCATCTGCCACCTCCACCACAATCAGTCAGTACATTTACAGCAGCTTGAGAAAATCGAATTATTGGCTTAGTCCGACTGAAACTGGACTTTTAAATGCATGTAAACAGCTTAGTCCGACTGAAATTGGACTATCTGTAGCTCGACTAACACACCTAGATAATTCCATTGAAAATCGCGCTATTGCTGCATGTATCCACTTAGTCCGACCGGAGTCGAACTAGGCGTTCTACGCATGCACCGCCTTCTCTTTTGCGGGCTTTCACCCTGAAGAAGAAGGAGATGACGCAGCAGCAGTGCAATAACACCCGGAAAAACAAACAAACAAACGTCATGGCGGCCGAGGAGGAGAAGACGCACTTCTAAAGGATAAACAGAAACTGAAAATGTACAGCTTTACTGTCCTTTCAGACACTCTTGAGCATGAGAGGTTGAGAAAAATATTTTTTTCTTTCCAATTCATTGGGTGTCCCCTGTGCTCCTATATTGCTCATCATGTAGGAGACAAGCAAAAACAACCTCAGGTAAGAAGGATAAACTGACTGTTGCTGAAAATGTACAACTTCACTTTCTCTTCAGACACTCTGAGTAAGAGAAGGATTGAAAAAGATTTTCTTTTTCCCACCATGCTCACACAGCGTTAAAACCCTGACAATACCTGACCATTCACTGGAGTTTAAACGTCCCTTTACCCCGACACGGTGGCCAGTTTCTAATGAAGATGACCACTACAGTAAAACTGAAAAGACGTGGACAGCAGAGCATGAGTCCATTTCAAACGTGGAAGAGAGCCAGAGAGGGGGAGGTGAGGTCAAAGGGGACACATGCTTCATGCCAACCCTGGTGCTTTGAAAGAAGGTGGGCTGGGGTTGGTGCAATACACCCGGCTTTCCCCTTGCCCTGTCAGGGTCGCCTGCTGAGAGGTGAGAGGAGAGCTTGAACTCTGATTTCTGAGGTGGCAGAAGTCTCAATATGTATTTGCTCCAATACACACTAAATGATATACCAATGAACTTTGACATGGCAGCAACTGATGCCTGCACAGACATAGTGAGCAGCTTAGATGACACTAAAGGAGGTGACCTTCACAATGGACAAAGAAAGAGCTGTACCCACCGGCAAGAAGGAATGTGATGAGGCAGGTTTCTTTGGGCATGTACAGCTTGAGGCGGGAGCCACTGAAGACGTATTCTACCACAGCTTCTGACCGGCCAGCCCTCTGCAGGAAGGGCAAGAACTGCTTGGCTTTCTGTGTCTCCTAATGGACAAAAGGAAATAAGTGAGGTTAGATCATACTTCATGCAAGACCCTTTAAAAGTTATGCAGCTCACTTAAAAGAAAATTTACTGAATGAAATCTAAGGATGTGGTGTCGTAATATGTATAAACGCATATATATGTCTGTTTGACAGTGGGAAAAATATTGCGATACTTTTAGGCTATTTTGTGATAAACAATAATATCTAAATATTTTAAAATCTTCTCTTAAGGAATGTAGATGACTAAAATATTGAATTACTAAATAAAGTACTGTTATATAAAAGTACTTAAAGGACTGTTAAACCAAAGTTAAACTACATTATAAATAAAGGTTAATAAAACACTTGTCATAAAGGTAAATAAAGTACTGTTATAAAAAGGTAAACAAAGTGCCATTATAATAAAGGTAAATAAAGTACTGTTATATTAAAGGTAAATAAAGTACTGTTATAAAAAGATAAATAAAGTGCCGTTATAATAAAGGTAAATAAAGTACTGTTATAAAAAGGTGAATAAAGTGCTGTTATAAAAAGATAAATAAAGTTCCATTATAATAAAGGTAAATAAAGTACTGTTAAAAAAAGGTAAATAAAGTGCCCTTATAATGTCATTATAATAAAGGTAAATAAAGTACTGTTATAAAAAGGTGAATAAAGAGCTGTTATAAAAAGGTAAATAAAGTACTGTTATAAAAAGGTGACTAAAGTGCCATTATAATAAAGGTAAATCAAGTACTGTTATAAAAAGGTGAATAAAGAACTGTTATAATAAAGGTAAATAAAGTACTGTTATAACAAAGGTAAGTAAAGTATTGTTATATAAAGCTAAGTAAAGTACTATTATAATAAAGGTAAATAAAGTACTGTTATAAAAAGGTGAATAAAGAACTGTTATAATAAAGGTAAATAAAGTACTGTTATAAAAAGGTGAATAAAGAACTGTTATAATAAAGGTAAGTAAAGTATTGTTATATAAAGCTAAGTAAAGTACTATTATAATAAATGTAAGTACAGTACTGTTATAATAAAGAAAAATAAAGTACTGCCGATTCTGATGACGTGCTGATATTATTGTGCATCCCTAATAAAGAATGTAACATTTAAGTTCAATAAACTACTGTTAAAATAAGGTTAAATAAAATACAGTTATAATAAAGTTAAATAAAGTATTGTAATAATAAAATTAAATTAAGTATTGTCTGGGGCAGAATGACAATTTATACTCAATGTTCATGATACTGTCATTTCAAACATTCCAGGTGGAACAAGCCGCAATACATTAAGAATAACCGATAAATCACCCACCCATATTTGACGGGCAAAGACTTGAGAACACTTCCTGATATTCGATGCATCAACAGTGCGTCAGAGAACAAAACTGAAGACCCTTTATATACTTATTTCAAGTATTGGGTCACAGTGAAACTTAAGAATGGAAAATACATGATACAACACAGTGAGACAAATCAACCTGGATGCAGCATCCACCAAAAAATTCAAATGAAAAGAACCCAAAATAGACACGCCAGCCTAAATAGGTTTATTGACAACAGAATCTGTGGGCTTTTTCCAGATATCTTCAAATCTCAGTCTGCCCTAATGAAGTCCGCTCTGCTTATCAGTGACACGTCTGGTAACTCATGCAATCAAAACTAATTCTCTACCCTCCTGCCTCCATCTCTGTCTGCAAGGGTGAGTCACGAGCTTATTGTTTTGCCCGCGCCAAAATTACAAGCGGAGCTAAATCATGCGTATTCCAGGCAGGGCTGGTGATGCGGCGGCAGATTCATAAACGATTAAAAAAATAATTTAATGTGCGCCTACTCCAGGCATGAGCAAGTAGGCACAACAAGCAGTCATGGACCAGAGCAGTGTGTGTGTGTGTGTGTGTGTGTGTGTGTGTGTGTGGCAGTGCCTGTAAGGGAGGGTGGAGTTCAAACAAGGAAAATCAGGGCAAAAAAATTTAAATCTCCAATTGTAAAAATCACCAGACATGTTTGAGACAGGCAGATATATTCTTAGCTGTTTTGAGGGGGACATGACACGAAGGGCAGTAAAAGAGGAGATGGACTAGAGGCATCACGCAGCACCAGAGGGACACTAACACAGGACGTTGTGAGTAAAGGGTATGTGCTTTAGCCACAAGATCCACCACCTGAACTCCACCCACTGTGGTCCGAAATAGCCCCTTGAGTGGGAGACAACAGAACCAAACATTCAGCCGTTCACACAAACACATTTCCAGCACCTGCAGTGAGTGGGATGTGCAGTCTAACTTGGTTCAGAAAAAAAAAAAAAAGGAAGAGACACGAGAGAGGAGAGGACCTCATTATGCAACCTTTCGAGGTACGAGGTGAGTCAAGTGCTTTATCCACTCTCCTCCCACCACCTCTGATCATCTCCTACACTATACGTTTATAAAGCTATCTCTACTCTATTTGTGACTGCATCCCACTCAATGTACATAATCCCTTTCAGCAAGCCTCTACCACCAAGCGAGAGGATGCTGACGTATGGGAGTGTGTGTCTCCATGTGTACGTGGAGGGGGAGCGCCTGTGCACGTGTCAGCTGTGTGTGGGCGTGTAGCGCAGAGGAGAAAGGGGAGAAGAAAAAGAGGGAAGGCAGGGGAAGGATGTTGGGGGGGTAGGCTATGATGCTATTTTGGTCCTTTAGAATGCTCATTACATTAGCCTAGCCAAACAACTGGTGCGTGCGCGTGCACACACACGCCTACTGGCGCTGACTGGCAACAATCCTGGAGACTGTGCTGCAAATCCTGCGTGGAAATACTAAGAGGGAGGAGGAGCTGCAGCTGCATGTAATGGCACTGACCTCAACTGCTGACAGGGTGGCACTAATAAGGCAGAGAGGGGCTTCACGGTGCTGATGTCACACATAAACACATGACACAGCACAATCGTGTTAAAATGTAAAGCCAGCGGCAGCCTGTGCTGGGTTACTGTGACAGATTTTAATGAGTGAGATGTGTGAAATCTCCAGTTGGAAGTAGGGTGTGGCATATATTGCTTCTCCTCGTTGTTATTAAAGTAAATTAATTATTGAGCACGTCCCCCTTGAAACTACTCCCAAGTCACACAGAATGTGGTCAGTTTAGCCTGTTAAGTTCAGGCGGTTTATAAGTATAAAAACGCACTAAAACCCCTGATGAAATAGCACCGCGCTGCTCAGTCAGCACAACAATTCCCTGTCATAATTATTTTTACAGGGTCCAGTAATTTATCTGTCCTGCTGACACAATAAGACACAGGGAGGTTACGATAATGACAACGTGGAACAGCATAACATCTGAGAGCAGTTACGCAGAGCGCTGTCGGACTTATTAGCCACACATCAAAGTCCTGCTGGTGTTAAAGAGCTTTAGTAATTTGGCTGAATGCCTCTGTTCAAATGGAAGGTGAGACAGCGGCTCACAGAGCTTGTACACGACAGGCAAACCTGGTTCTCAGCTGAAATGAAAAAAAAAGACTAATACAGAAAAAGAGAGCCTGATTAATTTAACAAAATCTGTAGAGCCGACGAGTACAAGTGCTACACGAGAGCTCAAGTGAGAGAGACAATGAGATGCTAATGTTTCTGAAGTTCAATTTCAAGCCATTTACAGCAGACCATCAAAATCAAAATTTATAAGGAGATGGCTGGTCGACAAGTACAGAGATACATAAAAGGCACTCGAACGATTCCGAATAACAGAACGTTACAGCTTTTGCATACATTTTTTGTGGTTTGATAGCATTTTAAGCTGTGAGGTCTAAAAAAAACTACCAAGGTGTGAGGGTGATAGCTGGGTCCATTGACCACAGTTTGAAGCCATTTCAAATAGACATGACTTCTGACTAGTCTGTAGGTGGGAAGTCAGTGAGGGACCATGCAATTGTTGCTATTACAGCTACTACAGAGGATTAACAAGCTGCACATACTGCCTAGTGAAGCTCCTCAGGCCCTGTTTACACCTGGTATCAGAATTCGTCTTGGGTGATCCGATTAAAGCTTTGATCCTCTGCCCGGATTGCATAATTGTTTGGCATTAAAATTACACAATTTCTCAACATTCCCCCAAGCTTGAATCAGGTCGGGTTTGTGCCAATTTCCCTAATTGTGTATGAATTAAGAAACGGTTATGTTTCACCTTCACTGCATTTGGCACCCATGGTCCTGGCATCTCCTTACAGAGTGCTCAGAGCCTCTGTAGCTGGTGCTCTGAATAACCAAGAAATGGTACACCCCAACAGTGCTCTGAATTTACAAACAAGCAGGCTCTGGTGTTCAGAGCGACTATTTAAAAATGCACGATGTGTCACAAATAGGGATGCTTGATAATATCAACACTACATTGGGGTCAGACAGTATTGGCATATGGGATATCTGCAAAAAATCCAATATAATGCATCCCCAGTGCAGTGAAAAGACCTTAGTTGACTTCAGCTTATGGATGAATGGATGGATGGGAATCATATAGAATGATAGAACAATAGAACCATAGAATGATGGAAGAATAGAATAGATAGAACAATGGACAGAACGATAGAAAGAATGATAGATAGACCGACAGACCGATAGAACGATAGATAGATCCATAGAACGATAGAAAGAATGGGAGATAGAGTGATAGAACAATAGGAAAATAGAACAATAGATGGAACGATAGAAAGAATGATGTTGACCGATAGAATGATAGATAGAACGATAGAACAATAGAAAAACAGAACAATAGATGGAATGATAGAAAGAATGATGTTGACCGATAGAATGATAGATAGAACGACAGAACAATAGAATAAATAGAACGATGGACAGAACGATAGAAAGAATGATAGATAGACCGATAGAACGATGGATAGAACAACAGATAGAACGATAGAACAATAGAATAGACAGAACCATAGAACGATAGACAGAACGATAGAAAGAATGATAGATAGAAAGATAGAACAATAGAAAAACAGAACAATAGATGGAACGATAGAAAGAATGATATTTACCGATAGAATGATAGATAGAACAATAGAACACAATAGATAGAACAATGGGCAGAACAATAGAAAGAATGATAGACAGACCGACAGACCAATAGAACAATAGAACGATAACCATAGAACAATAGAAAAGATAGAACCATAGAATGATAGACAGAACGATAAAAAGAATGACAGATAGAACGACAGAACAATAGAATAGATAGAACGATGGACAGAACGATAGAAAGAATGATAGATAGAACGATAGAACAACAGAATAGATAGAACCATAGAACGATAGACAGAACGATAGAAAGAATGATAGATAGAACGATAGAACAATAGAAAAATAGAACAATAGATGGAACGATAGAAAGAATGATATTGACCGATAGAATGATAGATCAGCCGACAGAACGATAGAACAATAGATAGAACGACAGAACAGTAGAACGATATCTAGATTGAGAGATAGATATAAGTGGAATTTTATTTCAGCTCCACCCACTGGCTCTGTCCACCCGTACCATTTGAAGGCTGGGCAATGGTCAAATCTGCATATAAAATATGTCTATGCAGCCATGTCGTTGTCATCTTCCTCTTCCTCTTCTTCTCATTTCCGGCAGACTAGGCAAAGGAGGAGCACTGCTGCCTCCCACCAGTTAAAAAAACAAAACAACTATGCGTTTGGTCTTTGCAAACAGAAATGATCTATGCCTTTATTTGCCTTTAGAGCAAGGAAGTGCGATCAGGTCAGAAGTGGTTACTCAAAACCACGTGGAGACTCGTTCTAATGCCAGGTTTGAACGGACGAACTTAGAGCTGTCCACTTCTGATCAGATCAGCCAAGATGCATGTTAACGCCAGGTGTAAACATGGCCTCACTGTCAGGTGGAAAAAGCAGCTGAAATGACTTAATCAGAAGAAAACACAATGCTGTCCATACGTTCCCCGAGCCAACAGAGGGAGCAGGCAGAGACAAAGGTCAAAATAAACTGGAAATTGGCCTTTCCATGTTGGCAAAACAAAAAACAAATGCTGAAAAGTATGTGTATGTTTGATTTCACCTTGGTACCAAAAGGTGATTTAGGCACCACCTGACTGACTGACCTCAATTTCCCTCTTGGTTGGTATGAGAATAACAAGAAAAAAAAAAAGCCAACAGAGCTGTACTGACCAAGCGACAATGACCACTATATAGCTGCATTCAAAGTCTGTGTGAGTGCCATCAGTACACTTTCCACCGCTCTGCTCCCAGCCACTCAGTTTGACAACTCTGGACAGCTACAACACTGCAGCCTATAGCGACATAATGAAGACTGCACTTGGGTATAGAAGAGCAGTGTGACAGCCATCTCTTGTGAAACCTTAAGTGGAAAAAAGCAAAATGTTGCTTTAGAAATAAACAGTTTTCAGGAGTGTCTCTATGATTAATAAAAGAACGGACGGACACATATAGATTTAAGAAGAGAGCAAACATGGGGTGAACAGAAGAAACGCTGGGATCAATGTAGAAACCAGCTTCCACGGTTGTGCGAATGAAAGCACATGTTCAAAATCTATGTGCGCCCATCGCCCATTACTCGTTACTGAGAGATTTTATGGGTTCCCTGCACTAATGTTCATTTGGTGAGCACTCCCAATCAGGCTTCATTAGCCAAATGATGCCTCTATCAAGCCCCTGGGCACACGTAAACAAGCTAGGACCAAGCACCACTGATGGTTTTATTAATGGGGCTGATTATTTTTAGAGGCCGCTCAGTTTCTTTAAGATGAGGAAACCGGCTGTGAGGATCAGGGACGGAGGGGTGAGTCGAGGATTATAGAGCGTCTTCTGAGAGTTACTGTGTGAGGTGGAACGACGAGGTTGAACAAGTCGGTACCTGTTGGGCATCGATAATCTTTGGGTGCCATGGGGGTTGTGTGTAAACTAGTGCAGTGCCCATTCAACACAGGCCTGTTCGGACGGGGCCGAGGGCCTCCTTCCTTGGGTCCTGAGCAATAAACCTGGGCCCAAAACAGCTTTAGATTTATTCTGATGTTTAGATATGAATAGTATGTTGCTACTCTAACTCATTGCACCCAAAAAATAACACACAAAAAACACTTTAAATATATGCACCTCAACGGTGTAACACTTAGAGAGGCAACAGACAGCATTTTTTCCTAAATATATCATTATGAAAACAATGTAGGTTGCACAGGGTAGTGGCCACAGTAAAATCAGACTATCAGCGTTTACATAGGTTACTTAGTGGCTTTGCAATCTTTGTAATAAGCTTCTGCCACCGGTGTCGAAATTTCACGGAAAAAATCTGCTTTATGGCAGGAAATGCGTCATGTATTGCGAAACTGGTCAGTCAGCCACTCAGGGACTGGAGCTTGTCATTACGAGAAGTTTGGGGGTTTTTTTGTTTTTTTTAGTTGGGCATGAGATAGTTGAGTCAGGAGCACAATGGCAGACGGACAAAGTTTGGAAACAAGTGAAAAAACGATGTCCAGCTAGCTTTCTTTCTAATGGATCAATAAGTAACACGGCTAAATGCTAGCTAGATGAGAGATGACTGTACTGTACTGGCTGCTAGTTAACTCCTAGCAGGCCAGCATCGCAAATCGCCGCAACCAGGGACCGGGTAGCGAGTGTTGCTCGGCTGACATCCTTGTTGCCATTCTACGGCAGCCCTCGGACAGTGATAACAAGATGATCCAGATTCAGATTTTACTCACTGATTATATTAATTAAATTTCATGATACTGATAAGCACTCTCTTTCACTCTTCACCTCAACTAAAAAATTGAATGCATGATTTTTACTGTGTGGTATTAATCAGTCAGTTTCACAAGCTGTTTTGGGGGATTTTAGTGACCTGAAATGCTCTATTTCATGGCAGGTTTTCTAAAGAAAAAATCTGCGATGCATGTTGCGATGTTTATAGGGTTTTTTTTGCAGTAAAATCACAGGGACAAATGAAAATTGCAAAAAATAGTTGCAGTGCCATCATGGCTTCAGAGCTCTTTATTATGGGCATTCAGTGTTTCCCAAAGAATTAGGATCTATGAGTGAAGGTAAGGGGTGGGATGGGAGGAGGCAGCAACAACTGATCGCCAAAAATCAGCTGCTGGCATTCGACGCAGTGCTGCGAGCCGCTCTCCTCCTCCTTTCTCTGTGCAGTTAGCACAAGCTAACACAGCACAACGTGATCTCATCTCTACTCGTCATATGTTGCCACTTGGGCAAAAGCCCCGCAGCAGTGGTTAGCATCCATCACCGAACCACTATTCTCACACCAACACTAAAACAGCTAAACTCTATCTTCAAATTTGTTAAGTGTTGGGTAACATTAGCCGTATGATGCTAACAGTTAGCCCTGTCACTGTGTGTATGTGACTTTGTGAGGGACTCATTAATAATTTAGCTCTCTCAGTTAATACTCTTACTATAGAAAAAAAAGTACTTCCTCTACCTTTCTACCTACTTTCTAGCCTACAAACATTCCCGGTAAGAGAAAGGATGCAAAGTGAAGCAAGACCCCCAGATCACTTCAGGTGAAATACACCAAGCGGATGTATCCATTTCCAAACAGGCCCCCCGTTGCTTGCTTTGACCACCATAACAAAGGAGAACATTGATTTGATTAGGTGAGATATTAACTAGTGGGAACGTTATGAGTCTAATAAGTTAATAATGTTTTAATAAAACTTACAAGCAGGTGAAGATGCTTGACTCAGTCACCACCAGGGCAGTTATAAAGTAGAGCATGGATTTAATCAGTGAGGGTAGTTTGCAGGTGGTTATTTGATTAGTTTTATGAGTTAGTTAGGCTAGGAAAACTATACCCAAGTTGCCACTACTCAGACAAACCAGTGAAATACACTCAGCAAGACTTGATAGCTTTTCGAAAGAGGCCGAAAGCCCCAACCATGCTGCTGCACAGAGCCTGTACACTTTTGTGTTGAAAGTTTATCAATACCGAACGTGTCTAATGTCCAAACTGCACCAAATTCAAGACTGCACCACCTTTGGTCCCAAGCAATGCACATGACAAGTGTGAAAAAGATTGGATGACATGTTCTGGAGATATGTGCAGGTCACACACAAAGACAGACAGATGCCTTGCTTTATACAGTAGTTAGATGAGCCCGCGGTTGAAAACACTGAATTACATCTGTGCATTCAGAGAGATGCTTGTCCCATTATATGTCATTGAAAAGCTTTCATCCTCTTGTGTAGAATAACCTGGGCATGCATACACAAAAAAAAAAAAAGGCACATACCCCAGAGATATCAGCCACTCTGTGGATGGGAACCTCCTTCTTGCTGTGCAGCCCTTTCCCGTTCTTGATGGCCCTACGGTCAGTCAAACCACAAACACACACAAGTCACAAACATGGCTCGAGCGCCATCGTAATACACTGAGCGAGCATGAGGCTGGAGGCTTTGCAGACCTGGAGAAATGGGAGCTCTTTGAGTAATCACTGTAGATACAAAGAGAGCCATTGTGGCGTTGTGAAGTAGAATGTTAATTCATACCCATTTATTTTCACTGAAATACCATCATGTCTAACGCTGGAGGGAGGATTTTTTTTCTCCTACATGCAGATAATCTATATGCTTGAGATGAAAAGTGGAAATGGTGGCAGAGACATTATAATGGAAGAGGAATTATTGTTAGAATGGAGGGATGGGGAGAAATGGAGAGACAGGGGTTGCTTCTTTAGAGCCGGCGAGGGCTTTAGTGATGATGACCGGCGCTAGTGATCGCCGCTTTAAAAAGCCCCGAGGGCCGAATGAGATGAAGATGACCAGTGTGGTTGCGGCTGCGGGGTGGAATAATGCCACCTATGGGTCACTGGGAGGCCGGCCATTTTGCCTGGAAGATGGAGTGCGTGCATTTATGCAAGCATGTATATATGTGCGTTTAATAGCCTGGAGGAGGTTTCTTGAGAGGCTGTGGGCCGTTGGCCTCGTGCGGTGGGAACTAAAAATAAAACCCAGGCTATAGACAGAAACCTCTCATCAACTCTAATAAGACCCCGCCAGGGACGGCGAAAGAGAAGGAGAGAAGGGGGGGAGAGAGGGAGAGAAATGGGAGAAGGGAAGAGCAAGGCCAGAGAAGGACAAAATTGAAAAGGTGGAGAAATAAGGACAAAATGTGCAAAAGACGACGGAAAGCGGGAGGAGGGAGAGAGCAGGGAAAAGAGGGTGGGCGGGCAGGCGGGCGGGCAGTGACACTGCATGAGGGAAAGGGGAGTTAAAGAGTTAGTCCTATAAAAAGAGGCTGTGGCTGCATCTGCTCTACCTACAGCCAGCAGATCTTAATCTATAGCACAGTAATAAAGCTCGTACTAAATCTCTCCACTGCACCTCCATATAATTATATTCATAGGGCCTGTGTAAAGAGAGCGTCTGATTTAGCGTCCAGCGCTTGGAAAGCCGTGTGTGTGTACAGGCATGTATGTTAAAAAAAACGTATACATGTGAGAGCATAGCATGTTTTCTAAAGGAAACGTATTGGCAGCTGTGTTGGGCCGTGACTTCTGATGATGGCACTGCTGGAATAAATTCTGACAAATAATAACCGCTTCACTTGTCCCATGTTGGACGTAACAGCAAATGTAAAAGCAATTTGAAAATAAAAGCCTCAAGGTCACATTCAATTTTCTCTCTCTTCCCAAGAGCAAAATTTGCCAAGGTCATGCACAACTCACACAAGTGTTTGTCTGTGTGAAAAAGGGGTTTGTGTAGAAGATTAGTGTGGGGTGTGTTTTTATTTGAAGGGGGGGGGGGAGTGCCTTTATGAAAATGAGCACACATTTGAGAGACCCATTGTGTCAAGTGTGCAGTTAGTGTGTCGGCTCAGGTGAGGGATGGACGGAGTGAATGTGGAAATATGTGGAAGAGTGTGCGCGTTCCTCACCGAGCCTCTGCGGCAAGCAGCTCATCGTAGTGGGAGGAGCGCTGGTCGTCATCCTGTCTGTATCTGATGACTGTGGCCAGGCCTTTACTGACCAGAGCCTCGGCTATGTTACTGGAGGAAAGAGGAGACGGAGAGATTACTTTAATAAAAACCAACAAGCAAAACCTCTCGGCTTCACACAGAATTCTAAGTGAGCTACATCCACACACACACACAAAAAAAAAAGACATGACAAATCCCAAAGGTGGCTCTGCAAAGGAACAAAGGTCACTTAAATGTTGACATTGCACACTTGACTAACTGCTTCCTCGCCGCGTTACGAGTGTACTGAGGAGAGCATGAAGGGTACAAAGGGGGGAGTATTGTTGTACTTAATGCAGCACTTAGTGGTTAGCCCATGGACATCAGTGTTCTGGGTGAAGTGTGGGAGACAGAAAATAAAGGGACAGGAAGTAAACCCTTCAGAGCTGGGCTCGTGTCAGTGAGTGCATTTGTCTCTCTGCATGTTGCAGCCATGGTAACTGACAGCATCGCAGCTCCTGTTGTCACCAATAACATTTTTTCCTTGACCCTTTTCCACACTTACATCAACACATGCAAATTTGATTTTAAAAGACTGAGAGAAGAACAAATTTTTTTTTTTATCATCTAAATTTAGACACATTTGGTTTGGGATATCATCCAAGGAGGACTTCCTGTCTGCCCCAAGCTTCTTAACCTTATCACCTCCACACAGCTTTGAGTATAGCATGGCTAATAACTTTAACAGGCTCCAACAAAGTCTCAAGCAGAGCCTGTTTTTCTACAGAATATGTGCTACTGAGTACTGACTGTTACTAGAGCACAGAAATAGTGAATAATTCAATGCGCCATACGACAAGGTCGCGCAAGGTTGAAAACATTTGCCCCATTGACCGCTATGCCCCCCTGACCTCAGCATGCACTGGGTGGGGTGTGGGGATATGCCAACTGTTATCTGTGGAGCAGAGCTGCTGGTGCAGTTGGCTAATGCTGGGTTGTAATTGGCTGGTCACGAGGTCGGGTCCTGACCTCTGTGTATGCACGCAGATACAAGACTGTTGTTGGTTTGGTGATGAAGAGGAATTGATGTTAACTATGGTCTGTCAAAAGTTTGAGAGACTGTTTCCTGCACTCTGGTGACTTCTAAAGGACGAAAATATCGAAGTAGTACGTATACTGCTTCAGTATTTTTACGCTAAATGTATTTAATTTGGTTTCGTTTTTGGTTCATGACCTTGGTACTCCAGCAGAGTACCAGGATGGACTGGCTGTCCTCCTTGTGCCACATTGCTGGGCCCTGGACGCCTAAGCAAGGCAGAACGGGAGGCTCGCCGTCTCTGGAAGACAGCTGGGTACCCCGCCATGGATAAGGAGGGCAAGCTGGGTCCCCTCCAACCCCTGAGGTATCCCTCAAACCCCCACTAGAGCATCCTAGTGGACATACGTACTTGTAACACAGTTAGCAGGTATACAAGGTGTCCACCTGCAGCCGCACCTGACTCCCTGAGCCCAACAGGCGCCCATATCCGGCCCCGTAGGAGGTAGAGAGCGCTAACAGTACGCTTTTAGAGACGGGGGGCTTATACACACTGTGCAGTGCCAGAAACGGGTTGTGAAAACCTAAAGTTTAAAAAAACAAAAAACTAGGGAAAAAACTTCTGAAGGTTCACTTACGTGGCATAAAAAGCTTCTCTATCAAGCTGTGATTAAATTTGAACCTCTGAGTAGTTTAATAACGTTTGTATCTGTGGTACTGTATAAAATACATGTTTCAAACCGATAAACCCGACTTCCTCAAAGCAGCGTTTGTGGATGGAAAATAATTGCTTGCACCAAGGCGACCCTTCTCATGGAAATTAAAATACAAAGAGGCACTTTCAGGTTACTTTGAGATTCATGAGATTACAAGTTCTGAGCATTTACAAACGATGATTCTGCTTCGTCTTACATCAGATGAACCTAACTTTTAGAGTTTTACACAGGGAGACAGCTGGTGTAATAAAATGAAATGTGCTAGTAAAGTACCTAACACTGACAAATTACATACTGTATGATCTGCCAGTGAGGGCTGTTTATTTGTAACTAACTGCTACGGGCAGCTTAAGGCGGTGTGTGCTGCAAGTACAGAAATAAAAGGCACGTTTTAGTCATGCAATAGGAGAATAAACCCAAATACAAGAGAACAGACTAGGGCTGGGCGATACGGCCAAAATCTTCTATCGCAGTATTTTATATCCTAGAACATCATTATAAATCACAATACAGTAATTGTTCTGTAAATTCAATAAAAATATGGTTAAAAATAATCACACTGACTTCATCTTTTTTTGGTACTTCCATACAAAAAAAAACAAACAAAAAAAACACTGCCTTCAATGAGACGACACTTGAGTTAAGAGCAAAACAAATTTTTTTTTGATACAGCAAAGTATCGCAATATCGTATCATCACGAAGTGCCAAGTATTGATTTTTTTATTATATAAATTGTTAATCTTACAAATACACATTAAACTCTAGCCTACTAGAATAATATAATCACCTGCTTTTTCAGTCTACTAGATACATTTTGCTGCTGCAAATAAAAAACGGCTGAAATGAGACGAACAGACTGAAAACTTTGTCTTATTAGCTAAAACACAAGTTGACACAGTTTTCTTATGGGGACATATTTAACAGTAGAAAAAAAGGTAATAAATCCCAATATATTTCATTGCAATAGTCAGCATATTGCAGCATATTTTTTGGAAGAAAAAAAAAAAATCGCAATAATATAGTAATGTTACTTAAGCATCGTGATAATATCGTAACATGGATCCTCTGGTGATTTCCATCCCTAGAGATCACGTGAGAATCCAGCCCTGATCTGATTAAGATATTTTTCCTTATGACATCAAAAAGCCAACATACTGAAGAGCTGCTGTGTGACTGGTTGTACGACTTACAAGACTTAAAAATCCACGTCTCCAGATTTATATCGTACCAATCAAGGAACTGCAAAGGAAAAAGTGACTGGAGGTTAGGGCTGTCAAAATTGCTCAAAAATGACGTTCGAATATTCCTTCTAAAAATAACTCATAGGTTCGAACCATTCGAATATTTTTTTTTTCCGCATTATGTCCACAAGAGGGCAAACTAATACAAGGAAACATACATGTATATGTATTAATACAAGGAAACGTAACTACTTGTAGATATTTTTATTTCAACATAAACGTCTTTGAAAACATTTACATACCTACACATTAAAACACATAAAACAATTATCTATAACATTACGTTATAAACGACCGCGGACCTCTCGTTGCCCCCCCCCTCTGACCCGTCAGGCCACACCACCCGCGGAAGCGCTGCGAATAGCCACGAAGCACCGGACCGTGACCGGCTCGCGCCCTGCAGCGATCGTTTCAGCGCCTGGTCTATTTTCTGCGCGAGCCGCGAGCGAATGTGTCAAGCCTGGTGACGGAGACAACAGCTGGGAGCAGAACCGCTTGTCGACCAGGCTGGAGAAATGCGCGTCTGATGCCAACGCCTACTCGCAAAGAGGACAGCTGCGGTGGTGTTTTTTTTTTCTCTCCACAATCGAATATCAATTTTCACATTCGAAGGTCCATTTTTTTTTTCAAATTCGAATTTAAATTCGAATTTAGAATATTCGTTGACAGCCCTACTGGAGGTCATCGAAAAAGGAAGTGTTAACCAAAACAGACCCTGGTCCCCCAAGTCAAATAGTCAAAGGTGACGTCCTCAAATATCCGCTACCCAAAGATATAAAGTCTACTGTCATAAAGGAGTTAAGAAACCAGAAAATATTCACACTTCAGCAGCTGGAGTCAGAGAATTTGATCTTTTCTTTCTGAAAACAGTAAACTAAAAGACAATCTATTCCTACTATTCGCTGCAGCTTAAAGTGTTACACATTACAAGTGTTTGAATATTCAAGAGATGGCCATTTCCTTGGGTTGATGTCCATCTGGTCGGCACGGGTCTTGTAGGGGCCAGATATAAAGCTGATCAAGGTGAGATTTCTCTTATATATTGACTTAGGGCCCCATTTATACTCCCTTTTTGTACGAAAAATAGATACTTCCACTTCAAATGTTGTAAGCGTCACTGCCCTCATACTTTGCGTCCTTTTCGATTACATAGATACAGCCTATGGATGGAATTTGAGGGCAGAGTCAGACGTTTCACATACAACAAACGAGACGATGGTGGAGGAGGTTGTAATAATGTACCTTTTAACAGAGGCAGGGTTTCTCGCTCCAGATTCTGCAGCGTACCTCCTCTTTGCCCCCCAAACAAGGACAGTGACCTAGTGAAGTCAAATCTCTACCAGTGGACACGTTCCTACTGTCACATGGTGCATACCAGCGTATTGCCCTGCAGACTGAAACCAAAGCAGACCATTCAGTGTGGTGCAATGTGTTACTCACATGCCGCCAATTGTGACTGTAGCACAGGTGCGTTCTGAGAATGCAGGTGTGCTTTCTCCTGGACCGGTAGCTGCTCTGATGTAGTCGACTGTCACGTTGACCTGAAGGGGCAAAGCAAGAGAAGAGGTCAAAAACACGGAGACAAACTGAAAGCAACACTAGTTATGGTAATAATTAGTGTGGGGAGCGTTCTGACTTGTGTGTGTCTGTGTGTGTTTGTGTGTGTGAGTGGGTCTGTGTGTTTGTCCCACTTCTCAAGGTCACCCCCAGTCAGCATGAATCACATCAGGCAGCACTGTAGATCTCCCCGGGGAGCCGTATTAACACACTGTGGGTGTTTGGGACAATACACACACACACACACACACACACACACACAGAGGGAACAGTGATGGAACCCAAATGACCCTACACTGTGTTCTCAAAACACAGAGCTCCCTGGGGATGGACTCCAGTCCACCCACCCTGAAGATACAATTTTGTCACTCAGCTGTGTGCACGCGCGTCCGCAGGCATGTGACGGGGAAAGCCTGCTTTGTGGCCCAGATGAAGCCATACCTCTACACACAATCGGCAGTTTAAGAGCTACGTGTCAACCGTGTCAGACAAGTGTGATGGGAGAAGGGGGAAAAAAAGTAGGAATCTGGCTGCATCGCAGTATCACAGCGTACACACAAGTCAAACAGAGACAAAGCAGATAGGCCTATTACAGCGACATGAAAGAGATGCCAACCAGGACACGGAACAACGTGGGCTTGTCATTAAATGGACAGGATGAGAACATGGTGACGTGAGTGAGGGAAGAGAAGAGGCTTCTGCTTCTGTTGAAGCAGAGTGGATGTGTTGTAATGTATTGTTCAGCTGTGTGCTTTTCAAGAGCAGACGGACAATAAAAAAGGATACCAGGAGATGGATTATGGTTACTGGAGACCATGGTAGACTGCACCCATAGAAACAGAATCAATGGACAGGACACTGAACTGTTTGCCATGGCCATTTGGCTAATTCATTAGAAGACAGCAACAGAGACATCAGAGTCAGGATGTAGCATTCAAGCTCCTTTAATTATTGCCGACTCAACTTTGTGAACACAAAGTGAAACTGAGCATAATTAGCATTAGCATAATTAGCATGAAAATTGCTAGCATTAGCTTGGTTAACATAAACAGTGTTAACATTAGCATCCTTAGCATTAGAAGTGTTAGCATTAGCATCTTTAGCATTATCGCTGTTAGCATTTTGAAATCATAGTTGAGACAATTTAGAGAATAAACCAAAAAGGAAACCAAGAGACACCACAAGAGGATTATTGTCACAATATATATTAAGTGGTTCACAGCATGAGGGCTAAATGCTTAACAGTGACAAATCAACATTGCTGACTTTAACACATGGTTACAAACAAATTTGAAATCCACTTCCTCTAACAATGACCTCTTACAGTCAATGCTTTCTGAGGCAAAACAAAAGATCGTAGCAGACAACCCTCTGATGGCTGGAATGGTATGATACTGGGTCCGTCCCAAGTCTCTTAAATTACTGCTAGTTATCTTACCTAGCCGACTTTACTAGCTGTTTAGCCCCTCCCACCTAGGAAAAAATGCAAGGAGCTAGCGCTAGGAGCGTTGAGCGAGCATTGTCGGTTTAAGAGACATGAGACATCCTTTCCACTGAAGCGTCACGTGAAGCGACGTCCATTCCTGATGACGGCGGCACCGCTGGATCTGCTCCGTAAAGCAGCCAGCGCCTGGCGTTACTATGGGTACATCCCAAGTCTCATTATATTCGCTGACCAAAACAGTACCCCCCACCCCCCCGCCGTCATGACTCTGGTCACACACTTTTGCATGAATTACCACTGTTAGTGAGTCATTTGTCGAAGTTTGTGCAATTACAGAACGGTCTGTAGCCCTGCTATTCCACTGTCACTGTGATGAAATATCATTACTCTTGGAAGTAGGTACGTGAATTACAGCGATTCATTGCAAAGAATGCATGTAACGGGCACTTCCTCTTGTACTGTTTCTCCGCCATCTCGTTCAAATGTGCCAGATGTAGAGGGCGGGTATTTATACGTCATGGCGTTCAGCTGAAAAACTCTTCCGGATACGAAGCTCTCGACCATCCTAGCTTGTAGCTGCTTAAAGCTTGCTGCCAGCTCCTAGCTCTAGCTCCTTGCTGCACAAATAAGAGACTTGGGACGGCCTAGAAGATGGCGGACCTCGAATGACTTCCGGTTCAAGCGAAGAGCTAGCAGTAGCACTATAAAAATAAGAGATTTGGGACGGACCCACTGAAGCCTGAGGCCTACCTAGGCTTTACAACTTCCTGTGGGTAGGACTTCCTTTTGGTAGGACTTCCTGTCGATGTGACTTCCTGTTCTGCCAAAGAGGGCGCCAAAAAGAAGGAAATGGCAGAACAAGACATGTTACCTAGACCCTGGGGTTTCCACCGCAAACAGTACTCTTTCACATGTGCAGGGATGGAATATTTAAAAACAGTGGGTTTGCGCATTTAGTCCTTAGCGCAGGGGTTTAGTGTTGTTGGGACTTATTGCAAAGAAACATTGATAGCTGCAAACATGCAGGCCTTCTGGCTTTCTGTCAACACTTCTGATATATAAAATCAGTTAATTACGTCGAACCTCCATACAAGTATCAAAACCAAACATCACAGCAGATACAATATGGCCAACTTCAGCAGGGGTCAGTACACTCAGCAGAGTGATGGAATATATCACATAGTTTAATGCCAGAAGACACAGATAGGCCAAACAGCATAACAGCCTATATACACACAAATATTATGAGCATTGATTCTTCAAGCTTCTCATTTTGACATATCTGTATGCTGCGTACAAAACAGAAAAATGAAAAAATAAGGTGGGGCGAAAAAAGTTTGTTTTTCTCTAATCTCCTTGTTAAAGTGTGAAGTTCATGACATTGCGCCACCATACTTCCATGGTGATGGCAAGAACAGCATGCATGGCGGTACCTTTGTCAAATTGAATTAGTGATGAATCACTGTCATGCATGAATCATACATTAACACTAGTCTAATTTTTACGCATAATCCATGATGATGAAGATACAAAAAAATAGAAATCCATGGCAAAAACAGCATATTGTCAGTATTTCAGAGACCCCCCCAGGATTTCACAAATCATGTTTTCAGGGAAGCTCATGTCCTATTTAAAGGAGCCAAGATCTTCTCGGCTCCCTGTGGTTCACACCCTGAGCTATTACTGGTCCTTGTTTGGTGAAAGAGACACATTTAAGATTGGTGTGTGGTTTATTTTTCTATTTAATAGGGAAAATAGGTGAGAATATTTTCTTTCCTTTAGTGACCTTGTTTTGTTCACATATTCTATACGTACAAAGGTAGTGAAGTTTTACACATCTGACAGCTGAAACTACAGGAGGTGGGCTACAGGAGGTAATGCAAAAAAAAAAACTATTAAGAGTTACTTTTCTCAGTGGGTAACGCTGTAATGCAAATCCAGCAATCCTTAAATGACCTCTCGCTAAGCCCCGCCCCTTTGTGATGGTCCAACAAGTGTCAGAGTAAGCATGGAGCCCACAATGTAACTAACTGCACTCCCTGAAGAAATATTATATGTTTGGAAAAATGAAAGAGTGATTCCAGCGAGAAGCAGACAGAGGGGTCTACAGTTTGTGTTTAAAGGATATATCCAGGACGTCAAACTGACTCAGCAGCAACAACAGGTTAAAAAGACAAAGATAGTTAGAAGCTAAAGCCGAACTATAGGCTACAGATCACAGTGTAAAAGTGAACCACCACATCACTGCTGATCACCACATAAGACAATGAATATAAAGGGAAACTTTGCTGATATTGAACCAGCTGTGTGGCATCGCAGTGTGTGCAGATGAAAGGTGTTTGGCTTCAAATCAACGTTCATCTGCACACACTGTGATGACACACAGCTGGTTGAATATCAGCAAAGTTTCCCTGCTTCTCTTCACTGGTTCCTGTACAGCAGGGTCAGCCTTTGTTTCACTGTTTTAATCATTAAAAAGCAAAAGCAGCATGTGTATACATTCAGTAGGCTATATCTTCAGTAGCTAGCTAGCTAACCCTACACTTTTCAGGGTTTGATTTTGGTTTTGGAACAGGGAAGAAACGTATATCTTTGTCCAACCTCTCCAGGTAACGAGTATCATTAATACACGACGTGCCCCAGGCACAACATTTAGCTCCAAATCCACACAACCAGCCTGAAAATGAAGGAAATCTGAAACGATTACATTAGAGTCAATGGAGCACAGCTGTGTTGGTGTCGGACCCTGGTCTGAGCCGGCCCAATGCTACGTTATGATTGGCAAATTTTATTTAACCTTTATGAGACAACTTTATCCCGGTTTTATCACCAGTTCAAAAATAAACACCCCCGTGCACCGTAATGTACATTAATAGCACTCATATCCTGACTTACTGTCATATTATCAGCGACAGAATTGGTTTGCGGTCCTCTCAGCCGTAGAATATAATGCAATATCCTCGCTTTTAAAAACACCCCCAATTTCATTTATTTTGTAACCATGCAAAGAACCCGTTCTTATTGTCTTGAAGGAAATGATTTTATCCTCACTCCCACATCCAAAGCACTTCATTTCCTCGTGGCTCAAACATAACAGAGTTTCACTTCTATTCAGCTTCACTGAAAATGAAGCCATTCAAGTGAAAGGGGGAGAAAACATTTGCGTTGTTGTTGGTTACATTTGTGTTTAATGGCTAGGCATTGCCGGCCGGGTAATTGAAGACTAAGGGGACAAAGAAAGCAATGAAAAACAGAAAGAATTCAAGCTGGCGAGAGGATAAAATGAGATGAAATTAAACAGGAAAATGAGAACACAAAAAAGAGATTTGAGAAGCAGATTGAAACACACAAGCAGAATATAATGCCTGATGCCATAAACTGTGAATCCAGTGGTTCCCCATTAAGCGAGGTGATGACAGATTATAAACTTTGACCAAGCAATGTTAGATTAGAGGAGTTCCAGGCCCATTCTCCACGGGCCATCTAACCGATCTCCCGATAAGGCAGAGCTATCTATAAGAACCCCCCCAGAGGAGAGTG